GTCCTCCTTAGCTCCTGCAACATCTGACTTGGCGACCAGGCAGCCCAAAGAAAGGCTGGGTGCAGCCTGGGTGAAACAAGAATTACTCTCTCCCAGATCCTGAATGCTCAGCTGTGCCCTTAACCCCCACATGCCCCTGCAGGCATTAGAGCAGCTTAAGGAAACTTAACATCAAAAAGCCCCTGTGCATTTTGCAGCTGGGAGTACAAAAAAAAGCCAAGCATTGCCTGTCAGGTTTCCACAGGCATCAGAGGGGTGTTTAACTGAAAAAGCTGCCTTTACTAAGATTTTACAGAGCTGTTAAATACACACTAAAATGTTGTGACATACCAAATAAAGCCAGTTGTCCCTCTAAGGATGTCTGAGCTGTGGCTGGGGTTCTGCAAACAGTGAGAACAACTGACTCGGGGCATTGCTCCATTAGATCTGGTTGAGGGCTTGCATTGTCAGGGCAGGAGCAGGGCTGTGGGCCCCAGAGCCTTCCTGCTCTGCTGGCCCCAGGGAATGGCTCTGCTGCTGGGAGATCCTGGACAGAGCTGCTGTGGGGCTGCCTCTGGGAAGGACTGAGCCATTTGGGAGCCTTCCTGCAGCCACCACTTCAGGGTGAGTGCAGGAAGCCCAAGGGATGGTGAGCAAAGCTTGTGCAGGGGTGCAGAGCCTGCCCAGGCAGGATGGTAGCCTTTAATTTGTAGGACACAAGCCCCTGATGCTGCTTGGCTGTGGACCCTGGTGCTGTGCAGGGCAGTGTGGCCTTTCCATGTCCCCCCTCTCCCTGATGGTAGAGGTGTCCCAGCTCCTGTGTGCTGGGTCGTGCTGCTGGGAAGGAATGTGCCTTGGGAGTGGCGACAGCCCTCACGTTGACCTTGGTGGGAGGGGGCACAGTTTGACCCTCTCACTTGTGTGAAAATTGCTGCTGGCTTTTAGCTCCTCTGATGACCTACTTCTTGCCTTCTGGATTAAACCCAGCTGCATTTTAAATGGCCAGTGTGATTTATCACATCCCAGACCTCCCCTGACAGGCAGGGCCCCAGAGAGTTACCCGTCACACCACTTGCATCTTGCCCTTGTGCTGAGGGCACGTCCTCTCCCAGCCTGTCTCAGCACCCTCCTGGCTGGCTGAAATCACTCCTCTCCTTGTCGGGGAGCAGAGGAGCTGCTGTCTGGGTGCTCCAGGCACCTTCCAGCTTTGCTGGGATCATCAAGCAGCAGCATTTTGTCACCAGGGTTGGTTCGCGGTGAGGGTGGCGAATGGAGCAACCGCCGTGGCCCGAGGCTGTTCTGGCCCCATTCCCTCTGTGCTGGAGAAGTTGGGCTGCTAATCCCGGGCCGTTCCCAAGAAGAGCTGCCTACGTGCCCCTGCTCATCCTCCTTGGCTGGTGCTGGTGCTCCAGCTGCTGGGCAAGCTGCCCTGGAGGCTTCCGACTGCTGCTTGCAGGGTGGCCCCGGGGGGAAGGCTGATCTATCCCTTCCCTGCTTCCCCCCCACCTGGGTTCCTGCAGCCTGGCCTTGCTGTGCCAGGCTCCTGGAGTTCTGCTCTACTCTTCTTTTGGGAACAGGAGGAAGCCAGGGCTGTGCTGGGGAGCCTGGGTGCACCACGTCCCCTCCTGCTCATCCTGATGGCGCATGGGGTGGTTGCCCCCCTCCATGGGATCTGGAGGCTGTATCTGTCCCATCAAGCCCCAGTAATTCTGCACTCCAGGTTTTTGGGGTTTTTTGGGGGGAGGGGGGTGTGTGGACATGAGGTGTTAGAGCTGCAGTGACCCCTGCCCCCCAGCACATCCCCTTCCCCTGAACAGGGCTGCTGTGGGGGCTGCAGGACCCTGCCAGCTGCTCTGGTACCCTGCTAGTCCCTCCAACACCCCCCAAGTGTCCTCCCCAGTGCCCTGCCTGCTGCCAGGAGTGCCAGGCTGGAAAAAACACCTGCTGGAGAGGAGCTGAACACCCAGAGCCTGCCAGCTGCACCCAGGCACAAAGCTCCAACTCAGCCATGGCACAACCACGGGGCTTTTTCAGCATGACTGGTTTTCACCCTGGCCTGCCTCAGCAGGGGTATAAAGCAGCTTTTCCTGCTGGTGGGAATGGCCAGCAGCTGCCTGCCTGGATGTGTGGAGCCAGCACAACTCACCTTCATCCTCTCGGGGCTTGGCAGCCAGGCAGGTGGGTGGGACAGCTATGGCTGAGAGGGAGCCAGTTGGGGCTCCTCAAAAAGCAGCACATGGGACAGTGGAAAAGCCCATTTCCAGGTCTCTGCCTGGAGTCCCCAGAGTAGATCCTGGCCTGGGAAGAGCAGCAAAGCTGTCTCCATCAGCAAGGTCTGCTCTTTCTCTGCCCTGGCAGGGAAGTCGGATTAATCATCATCTTCCTCCAGAGCCTAGAACAAGTAGTGTGGCCAGCTAGGGGAAAAGCACTGAAATCAATGGGGACTTAACACTTGGGGACAACTGCAGGGGGAGGAAAAAAACGACTGTGTCTGACCCAAAAGGCTGTGATGTGTCCTGGTGCTGGCCCTGTCCCAGAGGCTGGAGCCGTCAGCCGAAAGCCCCAGGAGGAAAGTGGCCTGGGAACAGGGGGCTCCTCAGAGCCATCTGGCACGGGCCAAGTGCAGCCCTGAGAAACTGCACTGGGGAGCAAACACGTCACCCCCATCAATCTCTGCTGTGCTTCCTGCCAAGGTGGGAACCACAATCAGGGAGAAGCAATTTTCCCTGGGATCCTGAAGTCAGGGCGCAGAGGGATGCCGACCTTGCACCCGCCGGGGCCTGGCCAGAGAGGAGCAGCCCATGGTCCCACTCTCCCAGGCTTTGAGGACACATGAAGCAGGGAAACATCTTGGCCTGGCGTTAATCTGGCCCTGGCAAAGCGCCTGGCTTTGCTCAGCCCCATCTTCGCCCCAGCTCTGCCCCACCTCCCTCCCAGCGGGGACTCCCCATGCAATGACCACTCTCCTGGGAGGCAGGTTTGGCTCCAGCAGGTTTTATCTCTAGAGGAGGACAAGATCTGGGGGCGGGAGGGGGGGTCACAGAACAAGGGTGGTGGTGATGATGGGCACAGCCCCACCAGCAGCACCCTGGGGGTGACACGGTGACAGCCGAGCGTCATGCAAGGTGGCTGGGGACAAGGGGCTGGCTCTGCACTCAACCCTCCTGACACCCCACCGGGCAAACACCACGAGAGGATGGAGCTTTCCCAGGGCTCCTGGGGCAGCCAAAAATCCCCCAGGACCAAGCCCTACCCGCCTGGAGATGGCTCCTCATCCTCCTCAGCTCCCCTTCCCGCACGCAGGGCAGGCGACTAGAAGCAGATGGTCAAGCTGCTAGATAAGGGATCCAGGTACCCCACCCTTAAATAATAGGAAGAAACTATGAAGGGATGATGAAGGGTCTGGGCTGTACAGCTGGGCTCCAAAAGTACCTCTTCTCTACGTCTGCACAGGGACCAGAGCCTGGAGCAGCAATTCTGGGCAGGGTTGTGCTGTTTTGGGAGCCTGGGCCAGGCTCTGCCTGCTTTATGGGGTCAGTGGTGAAGCTACGAGGCTACTGAGAACATTGTTGGGGGGGGGGACCCGGTGCTCCCCAAGCAGCACGTGGGGATGGAGAGGACACGGAGGGGGAGCTATGGCTGGGGCTGGTGGGACTAGAAGCCCTTCTCGATGCTGAGGGTGCGGCGCGTGACGTGCTCCATCTTCCCAGAGATGTACTCGGTCAGGCTGATCTGGTAGTTGGCCAGCATCTTCAGCATCAGCCGCAGGGTCAGCCACCACTGCTCCTGGGGCAGCCTGTGCCTGTGCAGCCGGGTGAAAGGGGGACACGCACTCAGCTCTAGAGCAGCCTCAGGGACAAGGAAGGTCCCTCTGGGGTCTGGCAAACTGCCGGGGCACGGGGACTTACTCAAAGTCGGTGACTTTCTTGAGCTCTGTCACGGGGCTGAAGGCCACCACCTTCTTCCTGAGACCGATCACGCAGGCAGAGTCCCCCGAGTTGGCAAAGACTCGCCCTGGGAGGGGGACACCGCTGACTGTGGCCACCTCACACGGGGCTTGAACAGCCAAGCCCGGGGCAGCGGGTGCTCCCCAGTGCCACCAGCCTCCCCCCAGCCCCCCGGGGGACCCCCAGGGCTCAGCTCACCCTTGCGATAGGCGACCTGCAGCTTCTCCGACATCCACAGCACTGCCTTCACCCCCAGCTTCGTCCCGTAGTTGCGGTCAAAGGGGGTGGGGGCTCCCCCCTTGGGGACAAAGGAAAGGGTGATGTCAAACCCGGCCAGCTCCTGGGGACAGGGCTGCCCCACCTGTCCCTGGCCCCCCGTACCTGCTGGAGGTGGCCCAGGACGTTGATCCTGCAGTCGAAGATGCCTTTGCCCTCGGAGGAGTAGAGATTGTAGAGGAACTCGGTGGTGTAGTGCTCGTGGCACTTCTCGTTGCTGGGGGGAGCAGAGGGAAGGGATCAGGGGCTGTTCCTTCATGGGACATCTCGCCAGGGCTCCCTCCATGCTCCCCTCAAAACCTTCTTTTTTTTATTTTTGGCTGTTTTGTTCTCCCCGAGGCCCAGAGGAACCCAGCCCATCTCCCCAGCAGAGCTCAAGGACCAGGGTGGGGATGGCAGCGGAAGCATCCAGCTCAGGACTGTCTCCCCAAAGCCAAGCAGGACGCCGTGCTCCCAAAGCCCCACTCCATGTGGCAACCCCTCTCCAAACTGCAGGAAGGGCTCAGCTCCAGCCTCTCTCCCTGCCACCAGGCTGGGTTTGTCAGGAAGCCTCCCAAGGGACCCCCAGCTCACCGCAGGACCAGCCCTCTCTGGATATCCGTCTTCATTTTATCCGTCAAATGCTCCACGTTGGCCTGCAAGATGAGCACCAGGATGCCAGCAGCCACTCCCAGGTCCCTCTGCTCCTCTTGTCGGGTCCTTCAAACCCTCTTTTCCCAGTTTCCCCTTCTTATTTTACCCAAACCGTGCTTGCTCACCTTCAGGTCATGGATGGTGAAGGGATCTTCATAGACGTAGGCGGCGTCGGCGCCCACCGCGATGCCGGTGACGGTTGACAAGTACCCACAGTAGCCCCCCATGGTCTCCACGATGAAGACCCGGCGCTTGGTGCCCGAGGCCGACTGCTTGATGCGGTCACAGCTCTGTGCCAGGAGAAGGGGACAGTCACACCAGGAGAAGGGGGAAAGTCACACCAGTAGAAGGGGGAAAGTCACACCAGTAGAAGGGGGAAAGTCACACCAAGAGAAGGGGAAGAAGTCCCACAGGAGAAGGGGAAAGTCACACCAGGAAAACCCAGCTTTGCTGCCTGGGGTGCTGGTTCATTCCCAAACAGCGATGATGATGATGATGATGACGATGGGACCTGTGGTGGAGCGTGGGGACAGCCCCTATCAGATACCCCCTGCCCTGTCCCTCACCTCCATGGCTGCGTTGACGGCTGTGTCTGAGCCCAGGCTGAAGTCAGTCCCGGGCACGTTGTTGCTGATGGTGGCAGGGATGACACACATGATGATGCAGAGCTCCTCGTACTGCCCGCGGGCCTCCACCAGCTGCAGCACCCCCTCGTACGCCTGCAAGCAGCCCAGGGCTGGGGAGATGCCAACCCTGACCCCGGATCCACATCCCAAAAGGGATGGCCCAGGGTGCCTGGGGTGCTGACAGCCCCTCCGTGGCCCCCACCAAGAGGCAGGGCTGAGGGTTCCCCCGCACCTCGAAGCCCCCGATGACCAGCAGCGCCTGAATGTTGAACTTCCGCACGTTCTCCACGATCTTTTCCATGCAGGTTTTGGGCAGTGTCCTAGGGTGGGGAAGAGAAAAGACCCTGAGGTGAGGACAGGTGGTCCCCACAATCCCTGGGGACAGTGGCATCCCCTTGGCTCCATCCCTTCAACCTTGGGGGGGGGGCCATCCTTACCTCTTGGCGGAGCGCCTCATACTGCCCGCGGGCCTCCACCAGCTGCAGCACCCCCTCGTACGCCTGCAAGCAGCCCAGGGCTGGGGAGATGCCAACCCTGACCCCGGATCCACATCCCAAAAGGGATGGCTCAGGGTGCCTGGGGTGCTGACAGCCCCTCCGTGGCCCCCACCAAGAGGCAGGGCTGAGGGTTCCCCCGCACCTCGAAGCCCCCGATGACCAGCAGCGCCTGAATGTTGAACTTCCGCACGTTCTCCACGATCTTTTCCATGCAGGTTTTGGGCAGTGTCCTAGGGTGGGGAAGAGAAAAGACCCTGAGGTGAGGACAGGTGGTCCCCACAATCCCTGGGGACAGTGGCATCCCCTTGGCTCCATCCCTTCAACCTTGGGGGGAGGGCCATCCTTACCTCTTGGTCCCCAGCATGGACCCGCCACGTCCCAGCCAGCCCGCCACGTCGTGCCAGCCCACCTCACGGATCTGCAAGCAGCAAGAACTCGGTTTCAGGCTGGGGAGGAGCACCCCATGTCTCCCTCCCAGCCCAAACCTATCCCCTGCAGCACCCAGGCTCGCTGTAACCCCTTACCTGCCCCTTGGACAAGCCCTCGAAGCCGTCGCTCACCACGTAGACGGTGTGTCCCTGGCAGATGCCGATGCGCACGGCCGACCTGACGGCCGCGTTCATGCCAGCAGCAGGGGCCCCCACGTTCAGGATGGCCAGGCTGAAGGGGCTCTGCGGGGCCAAGGAGGGGGGCAGCACATCCGTGCGTGTCCCCGAAGCGGGGGATGGTTGTTCCCCTGCTGCTCCCCCCCATCCCTCCTCACCTTCTCCTGCGCCGGTTTCTGGTGGGCCAGCAGCTTGTAGATGTTCCAGTTGTTCTCGAAGCTCCTGCAAGGAGGAGGTGGCATGGTGTGGGGGTGTGCTTGGACCCCCAGAATGTGGAGCCTTCCCAGCTGCAGGAGCCACTCTTTTCTTCCATCCCAGCACATCCTTTTGCCAGCCCCAGAGGGATGTCTCCCCCACCCCACTCCCTGCTCCTCACCTCCCGCGGAGCTGGATGGCCTCCTCAAACCTCTTCTCATCCATGGCCTTCTGCACGTCCTTTGTCTGGGGCAGGGAGAGACACAGCACTGTGACACCCAGGTTTGTGGGGAGGGCAGTGGGACCCCCCCAACCCAGCAGGCTGGTGTGCCAGCCCCTCCCCAGTACTCACCACCTGGACGCACTCCATGAGGGGCAGCCGCACCGACTGGTTCCCCTTTTTTTTCCCAGGGGGGCCAGCCGCACCGACTGGTTCCCCGAGAGGCTCACCACGCAGGCAGGGGTGTCTGGTGTGGCCTCCAACAGGGCCATCACCGCCTCCATCCCCATCTTGCTGCTCTGCAAAGGGGCACCCACCCCTGTGGGATGGGGGACACACGTGCCCGCCGGGCTGGGTGATCCCATGGATGGGAAGGGGATGCTCCCCACCGGGACGGAAACCAACCAATCTACAGCCAGAGAGCTGCTGGCTCGATTTTAAAACCCCTGAAATTTACCACAGGCAGAGGGAAGGTGTCCCAGCTGCCTTCTCCTTTCCACGGGGTGACCAGTGACCCCCCCCCAAACCAAGACCTACCAGCACACGGTCAAAAGCTGAGGGGGTCCCTCCGCGCTGCACGTGGCCGAGGACGGTGACCCGTGTGTCGAAGCCCAAGCGTTTCACCACCAGCTGGGGGGGGACAGGAAGGGTGTCACAGAAGGGTGTCACACTGGGGGACCCTCTGAGGAACCAGAGGTGCCCCAGCAAAGGCTGGAGGGAGCTCTTACCTCCTTGACATAGTTGGAGGTGATGGGTTTGCCGCTGCGGTCGATGGCGCCCTCGGCGATGATGATGATGTTGAGCCGCGACCCTCTGCTGCGCGTCTGGTGCCGGGGAAACGGCTGCTGTGGCTCTGCTGAAACCCACCAGCAGCCCCAGCCCGGGCTGGTCCTTCCCCCAAAAAACCCAGCCCCGTCCCCGGGGGGTGGCTGAGGCTCCGCGCGGCCGCAGCCAGGGCCGGATTTGCGCTCGGCTGATTTGCTTCCCAGGGACAATGGGGCAGCTCCCGAAGCTTCCCAGGGGCAGCGGCCGCGGGGGGGTCAGCCCGGGTCCCTGCGGGGGCTTCCCGGGGAAGGAAAAAAGGGGGAGAGGAGCATAGGAACACCCCCCCTGCTCACCTCCCCCAGCCTCTCGCACATCATGTCTTCCCAGCCATCCTCCGGAGGGGACTCGGGGATGAAGAGCCAGTCAGCACCTGAGGCCAGGCCGGACACCAGCGCCAGGTACCTGGGGGGGGACACACACCAGGGTGGCAGCACCAGCACCAACCCAGCTCCAAAACGTGGCTTCCCCACACTGCTTACCCGCAGTGGCGGCCCATCACCTCCAGCACGAAGGTCCGTTGGTGGCTGCAAGGACAGAGGTGGGAGGAAAGGAAGGGGTGGGTGAGATGTGCCCCC